GAATGGATTTTCGTTCGGTACCATTAACACTGTATTTATAGGTAACGATGCCTGCAAGTATAAGTGACATTTTGAAAAATGAACAAATAAGACTAGCGATCGAGCAACAGGCCATAAATACTCTTTCTCGACAGTTTATCAGCCTTCATTCCCCACCGCTCCCCCCGTCATCTTTACTGACTCCGGCCTTTTTCCTGACTTTCTCAAGGTCCGAGCCGTCATCAATTAGCATACTTCACCTCCCTGGCAGTCGTGGGAATCGAGGTGACGACAAACCCCTGTGGCCTTTTCCCTCAGACTACATGCTTGTTTTGGGGAACTGTTGGACAGATCTGTCACTGCTCGCGTCGCATGTGAGTTCCGCAGTCGTGACGGTGTCTCATGGCAAGGCTGGACACGGGCGAAAACTCTGTCGTGCTTTATCCAGAACAATCCTCAGACACGGTTCTGAATAGACCATGCGTATTCAGAACCGTGCTTTATCCAGAACCATGCTCAGACACGGTTCTGGATAGACCTCGCGTATCCATAATGATCATGCCTGTGGCAAATCTACGGTCTTGTATACGCGAAGACTATCCAGAACCGTGCCTGCTCCTAACCATTTCAGGCACAGAACTAGATAATATTAGTCACGGTTCTGGATACGCTAGTGACTCTCCCGAATCGTACCTGATCATAATCCATTCAGGCATAGGACTAGAAAGGTACTGATATAAACCCGGCCCCAAGCCTACTGATGAAGGCACTAGACATCCAGGTAGATACATCATACAAAATAAACAGCTGGATAAATTGTGTATAGAGTCAGACGTTTCCGTGGCAGTCCATATGTACGACAGGTTATCGTTTTTTCCACAGGCTTAGGCCACACCAAGTAAATTTTATGGATGACGTCCGCGCGCGCATTGATTTCGGCCTGTTCCTAGAAAAAACTAGAGTTCCACGATCTCATACCTTCGCCAAATGATGTTAGCCTTTATGAGTAAGAAATTATAGATTAATCCCCCTGATTGTGCAAATAGGATCCTATATTTGCATCAATTATATCTGTTGATCATATTCTACACCAGAAGACAGTCTTATCTTATCAAAGGATGCCATTATAGCATTTCCTCATAAAATTATGCAAATGAGGTCCTTATTTGAATAAGTTATGTTTAATTATGTTCACCTTCACATAACTTTCAAATATCCCAAGTATGAAATTCCAGGCAGTTACCACTATGTAAATATAACATTTTCTCATTAATTATGCAAATTAAGTCTTCATTTGCATAATCGATATCTGCCTGTATTTCTGCCGTTCTTAATTACATATGTCACAAGCTTGAATAGTCCTATCATGGAATGCAGCTGATTTATAGAATTTCCTCATTAATTATGCAAATTACAATAATATATGCATAATTATAATATCATTATGTTAAGCATCACTTCAGCTACCTACATGCCAAAAATCACGACGATCCATCAATCGGTTCTAGAGTTATCCGCCTTTAAATATTTTTCAACTAACGCCCCTGCAGTTCCAGAGCAAGCTGCTAGGGAGGCCAAACTCACATCACTTCTTCCCCAGCACAAGAGCTACCTACCATCCAAATTTCGTCACCCTAGCATGTCTAAAACCGGAAGTTCAGCTGCAGTACCATAACAAGCCGCTAGGGGGCCCAAAATTTAATCAGTTCCACGTCTCATAAAGACCTATCCACCTACCAAATATCAAGACAATCCATCTTAGCCTTCTTGAGTTATCGTGCTGACACACACACACACACACACACACAGACACACGAACGCCTAACGAAAACATAACCTTCTTGGCGAAAGGTAAAAAACAAGAAATTCCACTTCCTGTAACTATGAACCAAAGAGTCACGACAGTGCCACAAATCGTCAGATTGATGTGGAACCCATAACGCGAGAACAGGCAGGCGACAAGTGCTGTTCCACCTGATTTATTGCTGTTTGATTACGAATAAAAATT